TTGGACATTGGGCTGAGCCAGGCTCAAGTTGTGAAGGTTATTGCAGGGTGTCCTCAACTTCTTGGCTACAGCATTGAGGAGAACCTGAAGCCGACAGTGCAGTGGTTCTTTGACATGGGGCTTAGCATGGATCAGGTTGTAAATGTAGTAGCAAACTATCCATCGACCTTGGGCGCTGGCGTTGAGAAGAACTTAAAGCCAGTCAGGCAGTGGCTTTTGGATCTGGGGCTGAGCGAGGATCAAGTTGTCGATGTGGTGACCAGTTTCCCAATAATCATGAAGCTGAGACTCGAGCAAAACTTAAAGCCCAAACAAGCACTGCTGGAAGATGCCTTTGGCAGATCAGAAGCTGCAACCTTCATCAGCAATGATCCCCGGATTTTCTCTTACAGCTACCAGCGCTTGGCCACACGCCTCACGGTTCTTGTCGAGAGACATGAGACACATTTGCTTTCAAGTGCCACGCGGCTCACTGAGGCAGAATTTGCAAAGCGCTTTCCACGCAAACCCAACTAGCTGCCAGCCTTGGGGTGCTTATAATGCTTGGACCCAAACTGAGTACATCGGCGCCCAGAAGCGATCTGGGGGCAAGTCACTCCAGGCAGAGGGAACGAAAAAGGTTGGGAACGTTCTTTGAGCAGGAGACTTGCATGGATTGGGAACTGTTCTCACCTCCAAAAAGCGGCAAGAGGTGCATATGAGAAGGTCCAAAAGGTGCCAGGTCCCGACATTTGCGAGATTGGTTGGAAGCCGTTTTTGGATTCAATACCATACCAGATATCTCAAACGTCGTCCTCAATACTTACAGTAACATTGTATAAAACATCTCACCACATCCAGAATTGGTTTACAAAACAAACAAGGTTTGGCCGTGACTGTGGGAGTGGAAAGAAGCTCCTGGCCCGTCAACAGCCGGTCCCACGAGCTCACTCAATTCAATCCCCAGTGAGAAGAGGTGGATTGCAGGAGGGTCCATGAGCTCGCAAGCCGGGGACGAGGTGACTGAGGGTGCTGGTGTCGTCTTCTACCAGTTTTGAGGCGTTCGAAACCTGATGACTTTGATGGAGTTCTACAAGAATGCGGCCTTCCAAATCATTGTCCTACGTTTTTGTTACCACACATGCTGCAACTGTACTGCACACAGGACACACTTCAAATTCTTCCTGTAACAGGTCAGGTGGCCACCATTTATCTCTTTCTTTGATTTGGTTCTTGGGTGTGAATGGCCAAACTCAACAGACAAGGCAACCGGTCTTTTGGTCCAGAAGGAGAGTGGTCGTGCGAACGCTCCGTCTATGCACTCCGCCGCTGCGCGCGGGGCAGTCGACCGGAGGTGCAGGAGCCGCCCAGGCCGCAGGCGTGCCGAACCGGTTCAGCTTGGGGTCGACCGAAGGGAGCGGCCGGAGTGGTAGTGGCAAACCCCACCAAAAAGACATGGTCTATCAACAGGCACCTTCCGGGATTCGCTAAACAGGTGTCCAACGAGAACAATTGTTTTGTGTACCAACCTCCCTGTATATCAAGCGTTGCAAGTGGGCGCACCAGTATGCAGGAATTTCTACCAGGTGTTGCTCGACCCAAAAATGGCAAGTCTTCAACCATTCTGGTGCAGCCCCTATTTGTTGCGACAAATGTGTAGATAGGTGGTCTCGACATGAAGGTATGTTCAATAGATTTCTTTTGCAGTTTGGTCGGCCAACCAACCCATCAAAAAGACGTGGTTTATGTTAGTAGGGATGAAAGCATGCATAACAGATGCCTCTTCCAGGATTCTATAAGCAGGCTTCCGTCGACCAAGAAATGATTTATAGTAGCTTGAGGGATGAACCAACCACCCTGTATATCAAGCATCCCAAGTGAGTGCACCAGTATACAGGAAGTTCTACCAGATTGCGCTCGACCGAACTGGGAAGACTTCAAACAGCTTGGAGCCCTGAAAGCTGCGTGAGACCCTAAGGCCCTAAGGGTATGTTTAATAGCAGTTTGGTTGGCCAACCACCCTGTGATGCATGGCTGATGTGTGAGGTGTCCACTGAATCGGAATTCGTGAGGTTTCCCCGTACCTCCCCTCCTTCGTTCGTTCATGCACATGATTCCCTGGAGGCTCGGAGGTCCACTTTGTTGTGCATCCATTTGCATATCCTTTGCATATTTTAGTGTTTATTTGTTTATGTTTGCCTGCCAGATGTAAGATCCCGTTTGTTTGGCTAATGTCCGGCAAAACAACCTGTAAGATCAAGCCTTAGGTTGTCATCCTCCCTACCCAGCATCACATATATACATCTTCCACTCAAGACAGCCACATCAAAATCAGATAGACTCCTGTTGCATACCGGCAACAGGGGTCATCATGTTTGATCATCACTGGAAAAAATTAGAAATTCCTGCAGCAATGGCAGCAATGGCGATGCAAGAACAACAGAGGACACTACGATAGAAGCTCAACATGTCCCTTGCTGCAAGGCTCGGGAATCATCGATGGCCACTGTTGGTGGCATCTGGACGCTCCGTGTCACTGATGTGGTGGCGACACGGATGGCCCAGAAAACGTCGCGACAGCGTGGCAGAAGCACAGTTGTTGGCTCCATTAGCAGAGCTTTTGATGCCAAAGACGCCCATTGAGGAACTTTTCAGGAGCTTTCCTTCTCCAGATGGCTGGGGCGGACACTACTTGGAGCCAGATTTGACAGCTTACGGAGTGCTGAAAGATCCGAATGCGGCATTGTTTGTGGAATATGATGGATACTGGCGGCATGGGGAAAGGGAAGGCAGATCCAGAGACCAGAGTAAAAATGAAGCGCTGTTGGCATATGGGCCTCCAGGGTCATGCGTGCTCCGCATCTCCCACACCCACAGCAGTGGGCTAAAGGATCAGTTTCTAGGTATCCAGGTGAGAACCTGGCAAGCCTGCTGCAGGGCATCACTTGAAAGGACTTTGACAGATGTGTTGAAAAAGATATCAGAAGGTCTTGACAAGGTGCTGTGTCCTGAAGTGGCAAAACGTTTTGATCTTGAAGCCAGTAGAGGCTCAGTGAGAGTGTCAGCGCGGACAGACATTTTTGTTCAAAAGGCCATAGCTGTGAGGGGTGGCAACACATCGAAGGACATTTCAGACTATTTGGAAGCTGAAGGATTTAGCAAGAAAGAGATTGAACTTATGATTGAACGTACATCCTTGAGTGGACAATCCATTGCCTGCACGCTGCAACCAAGAATACAATGGCTTTTGAGTTTGGGGCTGAAACAAGCTCAAGTTGCTAAGGCCATCACGACATTTCCCAACCTTCTTCGCTTGAGCGTCGAGCGGAACTTGAAGCCAAAAGTTCGGTGGCTTTTGGACGTTGGGCTCAATCACGGTCAAGTTGGGAAGGCAATCGCAACTTTTTCTCCACTTCTTGGCCTGAGCATAGAGGAGAACTTGAAGCTGACCTTGCATTGGTTCTTGGGCATTGGGCTCAGCCAGGCTCAGGTTGTGAAGGCAATCGTGACTTGTCCTCGCCTTCTGAGCTGCAGCGTTGAGGACAACTTGAAGCCGACAGTGCAGTGGTTCTTGGACATTGGGCTCAGCCAGGCTCAAGTTGTGAAGGCAATCGCAGCGTCTCCTCAAAGTCTCGGCTACAGCATTGAGGACAACTTGAAGCCGACAGTGCAATGGTTTTTGGATATTGGGCTCAGCCAGGCTCAAGTTGCAAAGGCAATCGCAGGGTGTCCTCAAATTCTTGGCCTCAGCATTGAGGGGAACATGAAGCCGACAGTGCAGTGGTTTTGCGACATTGGGCTCAGCCAGGCTCAAGTTGTGAAGGTAATAGCAATGAAGCCTCAAATTCTTGGCTTGAGCATTGAGGAGAACTTGAAGCCAACACTGCAGTGGTTCTTGTATATTGGGCTTACCAATGATCAGGTTGTAAATGTAGTGGCAAACTATCCATCAACCTTGGGCTTCGGCGTTGAAAAGAATGTAAAGCCAGCCAGGCAATGGTTCTTGGAGTTGGGTATAAACAAACACAAATTTGTAGACATGGTGGCCAGTTTTCCCATCATCCTTGGCCTCAGGATCGAACAAAACTTGAAGCCCAAGCAAGCACTGCTGGTAAGTGCCTTTGGCAGATCAGAAGCTGCAACCCTCATCAGCAATCATCCTCGCGTTCTCTCTTACAGCTACCAGCGCTTGGACACACGCCTCACGGTTCTTGTCGAGAGAAATGAGACGCATTTGCTTTTAAGTGCCATGCAATACGACGAGACAAGATTTGCAAAGCGCTTTCCGCACGAGCCAAAGTAAACAGCACCGACTTTGCCGTGGCTGAGTGTTTGCAAGCCTTGGACCTCAGGCTTTTCCATCCTCCCAGAACGGGGTCAATCGATGCCCAGAAGCGATCTAGGGCACGTCGCTCCGGTGCGACATCCGCCTTTGGCCGTGGCTGTGGGGATCGGAGCGAAGATGAAGCGAATTCCGAGGGAACGAAAAAGGTTGGGAAGGCCCGGGAACCCGGGTGGGCGCGGGCCGCGGGGGTGCTACTTTCATGGTTCTCCTGCTTGTCTCCGAGTCCAAGGCCCAGATGTTTTTCTAGATGTTGGATTTTGGAACTTCAAAATGTGACCATCTCACTACTTTAAAGAAATATGAAACCCAGGACTGCCATAAATGGGGGATCAGGCCATCCCCCAGTGGGAAGAGGTGCTGGTGTCACCATTCTGCAATTTTTGAGGTTTTCGATTATTTGAACCGTTATTAACAGTAGAACTATACTGTAGGTTCTTACTGTAGCAGTTCAGGTAAGCCCTGTCTTTGGAGAATTGGTCATGAGTCCTTCGCAGCAACGAACGCTCCGCCCCATCTGCGGAGCTATGCGCGGCGTTTCTTCGTCAGGTCTGGGACGTTCGACCGGAGGTGCAGGAGCCGCCCAGGCCGCAGGCGCGGCACCGGATGCACCACTGGCGGTGCCAGAGGCAAACCCGAAAAGGTGGCATGGTAGGGATGGATCCACCAATACCAGGCATTTTATATGGGATTCTCTAATGAGGTTTCGGTTGACAAACAGGCGGTAGGGAGTGCAACAGGATACACGAAGTTCTACCACATTTTGCTCAACCCTAACTCTAACTGGGAAGACATGAAACATGTTGGAAACCGCAAAGCTTTGTGAGCCCCTATTTAGTTGCGGAAGGAACAATTGTCGATAGACGGCCTCCACATCGGGGTATGTTCAATGGCAGTTGGGTTAGCCTCTACCATGATTCACTGCTGATGTGGTGAGGGTTGGACTGAATGAGACGAATTGTGAGTACCTCTCATTCGTTCATGGCACATGGTCACCGGAGCTCTATGTTGCTGCAATCATTGGCTTTTGCATACTGCATCCGTTGTGTATTGCATATTCTAGTCGTTTGTGTTGGCACGCCAGACAATTCAAGATTCCTATTGTTTAGTATGACTAATGTCCATCAAAAAAGACATATAATGCATATGAAACTTTAGGTTTAGGTTGCCATCCTTTTCGGGTCCCGGCGACAAG